GGGGGGGGGGGGTTACAGGTATATATTTTTTGTTTAAATGTCTTGAGGAATCAGTCAATATTGACCAACAAAATACATCACATAGGTATATTGTAACTATATATATATATAACTAGAGCGGGGGGGGGGGGGGAGCATATATATACCGAGTTGCATATCTGCTGACTGAAAATCTGCTTTGAAAACTAAAAAAAAAAACGAAAATTAACCATACATCCCTTGAAATCGGTGCAGGCAGTATAGGAATGTAGCCTCTACGGTTATGAGATTTTGCCATTCAGTACAACCTGACCAGCACTCCCACTTCTTTAAAACTTATCACCAGATTTAGACGACTTGAGAAAACTCTCAAAAAAAAAAAAAAAGAAAAAAAAATCCAAAACTCTGGAACACTTTCGTGCATTCACGTATCATATATAAGATTAATATTCCAAAAACTGAAAAATGACGTAATTTTTGCTGTCCTTGTGACTTAACAAAACTTACCTTTTCATCGTTGTTGGCATGATCCGTCTGTACACTTTCACACTTGCTGTGCATCAGCTACTCTGGAATTCATATGGAAAATGAGCAGACTGGACACCGCCTGTATGTAACTCTTTGCAACCCAGACGTTCAACATTCAGCTGTTCCAACATCGATGTACGCCCATTTATATAAAAAAATTCCTTAAATTCAAGTAGTTTACTTAAAAATTTACCAGACTGAAACTAATATAGTGCGTTTCAAACAAATCTAGATTTAGGCAATACAATTTACAAGCTGCTTTGACAGCAAGAAAGCAGACGACCTCGGCATCTATGCAAGACAAGCCCAAAAGGCTCACTCACAGCGGTGAGTGTCAGCGTTAAAAGTTATATTTTGACAAGGACGATATTTCATTACTTTAGTAAATCTATGTATAAAAAAAAGGTTATCACAAAATACTTACATTTAAAGAATCGCCTTTTTATTTATTTATTTATTTATTTATTATTATTATTATTATTATTATTATTATTATTATTTTTATTTTTATTTAAGAGTTTTGCACTCTGACTCGGAACCACTTGGATGTCTCCGCACTCGACAATAATGTATGGAGCTTGCAGAGTCAGCCGAGGATTGCCGATTGGCACTCTTGAGAAGTGACCTGGGAAACTGACCTGGGGCCGGAAGAGCACAGGTCTCAAACTACTGCGCATGCGCAAAAGTACGCTGTTTGCAATAAACAAAAGCCTGTCGGTGTTTACCGTCTGGTTGATTTGATTTAATTGCTTTCTGGCGTTGTTTTAAGAAGTCATATTAGAAATATTCTGTTGATTGTATGTTTTAAAAAGCAAATCCATCGGACTTTCCTTTGATTTAACATTCATTTTGCTCTCATTGTATAGTGTTATATGTGGCCCCAAGGGATTTTACACCCCTCCCCCCACTCTTGATTAATACAATTCTTCGTCGGGCAGATTGAAAATTATATCGCAAAATACATTAAAAATCGTAGGAAGGTTAATTGCAGATAATGTTGTGAGGATATTCTAGTCGAACTCGGCTAATATAAAAACTTTAACTTCGTCTTACGATATATTGGAGCGTCTGTACTAATTTTTGAAAGCGAGGCAAAGGAGCCAAACAATACGATACAATTTGTAATCTCATAAAAATGGATATTTTTAAATATATTTTATAGCCGGGCGTACATCAAAAGGCGACTCTTTTATGTGATATTTAATAATAATTAATTTAAAAGATACGATATAATAGCTTCTTGCCGACGGCTTTTTTTTTAGCTTTATTGATTTTTTAAAAGTATTTGGAGATAAAAAACACAAAAGCTGTATGGTTTCAAATCGAGGCCCCACATATTGCTCGTGTGCTGACCGGAAGACGAGCGACACTAGCGGGAATTATGAAACAAAGAGAGGGACAAAGAGAGACGGTTGAGTCGCAGGAGAGAGACAGAAATCCGTCGATATCTGAACTGTAGTCTTATACAATAGTGGGATTTCTACGACATCAGAGGTAAGAGATATTATATTTATTTAGCTAGATTAAAGAGTTCATTTATTCTGTAATTCGACTTTTGTAAGATGAATCTGGCGGATAATAATCTCTTTTTTATTGAATAAGCCGGAAACAAAGACTTTTTTTATTCTCCATATATTTTTCATATAATAATGCCACCTTTCACCTTTTAATTGTTTCATTAGAGAAAAGCACCTTGTATAGTGGCAGCATATATGCCATATTGATAATTACCTGTAAAGGGTTTATGTATTTATTTGCTTATTTATTAATTTTATTATAATTTGTTTTTTATACTTGAAGTCACAATTAAGTAGTTAAAATTATTACAATCATTTAACACAATTCATCACAAATACCGGATAACACACATGCACACACACACACACACACACACACACACACAAACAATAAATAAA